ACGGCCAGTTATATCTTTAGGCAGTATGAATTGTGTCGTGTATAGATTTGGCCACCGGGAGGTAATTTCTCTTGTTACCGCTTGGAGTCCCTATTTCGTTACCTTGGGGTTTACGATTAAAAGCCGGTGGTGGGACAAGGAAATGGCGATCGGAGTGCATTTTGTGTTAGCACGCCGAAAAGTAATGTTGCGCATTTAAAAAGTTGGAATTAATTGTGTTCATTGAGGCATCCGTTTGGATATTGGAATTGGATATTTGGGGAGTTTGTCTCAATGCCGCTTAGCGGGATTTAATTGATATCCACTTAATTGGTGCTTTGGTCTGGCACTCGGCTTGGCCGGATTTTATGCAACAAGGCGTTTATCGGCTTTTATTTTGATCATCCGCTTCAGGTCGAAGGTAAGAGTCATTCCTTATTCTTTTGTGGTCATTTCGTTATTTCATACGGGGTATATTTGCAGCGGATTTTGGGTGACGGATCTACATTACCACGTGAATCTAGTATTTGTTTTGTCACTTATCGGCGTGGGAACAGTCGTGGGTCTCGTGTAATCAGACTGGAGTTTTGGTATTGGATGTGAGCTGCGAAGGATATGTAAAACTGTTCGAGTTCGAGTTCCGGGGAGACCTGTTTCACTGTGATTGTTTGTACCGCATGGAGGGTTATTTGTCGTAACGTCGGAGGAATTTTATGCATGGCTGTAATGGAGGGAAGCCGTTAACTGGGTGGAATCGTCGTGTACCAAGTTCGAGCGCGACACCTGTCCGAGAACTTGATCGTTCTGGTCGGAGACAGCTCCGAGACATCGTTGCCGATTTTGCTGTTCACCGGTACCGTCCCATTGCGATCCCTTCGAGTTTACCGATAGGCGAGGACCCGCACAGCTAAGTGGATTGTTGGTTGTTTCGTGTACATGCTGGTGACACCTCTGGAAAACGTTACTTTTGATGCGAGGTTTGGAATTTCACGTAAATTATTACTAGCAGAGAATCTGATAGATTCTATTTAGCTGTTGGCTTAACCCGACTTGTTAGTAATTAGTTGAAGTCCTTCGTATCTCAAGTAAGATACTGGGAGATTGTTGGTTGTGTAATGAATATTGGAACCTGGCATAGCCGGTTAAATGTAACGATTTTGAATTCACTTAATTAACATACCTATTGAATAGCGTCACTGGCATAATCAAGTACATTTATTTGTGTGTCACATATTTTTCTTGTTGGAAATTATTTGTTTCCTTTATTAGGGTGGGGACCAGTGATAGCTGCTGGTAATTGTCATAACAATTAAGGGGTTTTATATATGTTATTTATGCATGATAGATTTTTAATATGGGTAACCTTCTGTGATTTCGCACTGTGGTAAGTTTGATATATATATTTATTTATTGAATTTTGTGTGTTGGGTGGCAGCAAATCAGGCGGCCCAAATTGATTCTTTGTGATGCATCACCAGGTATCTTAAGTATTTATGTGTAACTGATCGGTGTAATAGTTCGTATTGCGTACATTTGCTTGGTACGTTTTGAGGTAGCAGATAAATCGGAAATCCGATATTATTCCCTGCTACTCGGGTGTTCGACGTCGAAGTCATAGGGGGGGTTGATTGTTGTCCTTTAAATTTTGGATTATTTATTTGCTTGTTGTCATTTTAAAAGGGGGGGGGGAGATTTTGGGTACTTGATTCGGCGACCGTTTAATTGGTTTGTGTGGCACGAGTTGCAGATTCTATTATTTACTCTTGTTATTACTTACAATTTTTTTCGAGATTTGTTAAATAGTTATTAAAGAGGGCTAGTCAAGTTGTATGTATTTGTGTTTTGATTGCGAGAGTGTGTGAGTACCCTGGATACGTGAGCTGTCGCTCGATTCTTTCTTTAAATTACCATCTACGGACCGACTCCCGGTACTAGAGCAGCGGTTGGGAATCCGAGTCGGTGGCGCCCACAACTTTTTTTGTATCACTTTTAGGATTTGGTTCCGGCCAACGTGGAACCCCACCCGTCTCCCTGAGCTAGAGCAAGGGTGCGCTGCCTATACTTATTTGAGTCGAGTTGACAGTGAGAGGAGGAAATTGCAGGTAGGGTGGTAGCGCCATAGGTGACTGCATTCTTATTTGGTTACTGTATTCTGCTTCGGCTATTTGCCAAGTTGGCGTTGCAGATTTTGGCGCCCAACGTGGGGCTCGATTTTACTTTTTTGGGTGCATGATTCCGCTTGTGCTTGAATTTGTCTTTGTAGATTAATTGTGTGGTTCCTTTTGTTAAATTTTCTTCTGGGGATAGTTACTGCTATATTCTATAGGGATAATGGCTAAGTTATTGTTGGGTATTAATCATCTGAAAAAGGATGAACTTCAGTATGAATTGAGAGTTAGGGGTGTGAGTGAGACGGAGATGACTGTAGATGAAATGCGTAGTAGTCTGAGGTCCCTATTTAAGTTGGAAGCTACCGATCGTTCATTAACATACCCCGAGTATGATTTAGCAGCCGAGGGAGAGTTGAGTACTATTAAGGACAAGTATGAGGAATTAGTTGGTCTAATCGAGAACGTAGAGGAGGAGCGGCGAGCTAGTGTTTATCGGAGGTGTACGTCACGAATATTACATTTAATTGGGCGGGTTAATCGTATTCCTATGGGGGCTACTCAGAGCAAGGAGACTCTGCAAAGTCGCAGTAAGTGGTTAGGGAAGGTGTCAGCATTGCTCAGTAGGGTGGAAGGTGGGAAGCAACCTGTGAAAGCGAGTACTCCGAATTTAAGTGTGATTGCCAGGTCGAGTCATCCGGTTGTACAGGAAGATTTATCTGAGGAGTCGGATTCTTCGCCTGTAGAGAGTGGAGGGGCGACGGGATTTAAATTTCCCAGAACTTCGAAACCACAACCTGTAGAGAAATGGGGGCTGAAATTCTCAGGTGATCCGAAGGGTACATCAGTTATGTCCTTCCTTGAGCGGGTCGATGAGTTGCGGAAGGCGAGGCATGTGTCTGAGAGAGAGTTGTTTGCATCTGCGCTGGATTTATTCGAGGGTAAAGCGTTACTATGGTATCGATCAGTGGTCACTAGGTGTGCAAGTTGGACCGAATTGTCTGAATTGCTTCGGAAGCATTTCCTACCACCTGATTACAGGCCGCGGTTATTTCAGGAGATTTTAGCACGGGTTCAGGGACCGAGTGAGCCTTTCATTGAATATTTTTCTTGCATGACCACCTTGTTTTCTCGCTATGGGGACATACCGCTTGATATACAATTAGATATTCTTGTACGCAATTTGGCACCTTTTTATACCATGCAGCTACCAACCGTTAAATCCTTGAGAGAACTGGAGGAGGAGTGTTTGCAGCTGGAAACAAGGAAATATAGAGCGGATCATTACCAGGCACCCTCTCGGAAAAGTCACTTAGCTTCTGTTGAGCCTGAACTTTCTTGTGTGGTTACACCTGGTGTGTCTGAGGCTAGGGTGTCGAATTCGAGGTCTGGGTCTAACACTGGTGACGTTAACTGCTGGAACTGCCTGAAGACTGGGCATTTAGTTAGATTTTGTGATCGACCGCTTAGGAAGCACTGCTTTTCCTGTGGCCAACTTGATGTTACAACTCGTGAGTGTCGTCGCTGCAACCCTAGGTCAAAAAACGAGTAAGAGAGATGATAGATGTGGGCCCTATGTCATCTCGGAGATTTCAGGAGGCCAATAGGGTGAAATGTTTGCTAGATTTTGTATTCTCGCATGTGCAGGGTGATGAGAGGCCTCATATTAGGGTCAATATTCTCGGAAAGGAAATGCTAGGATTACTTGATTCAGGTGCCACTAGGAGCGTGATCGGGGAGAGAGGTTGTAAAATTTTAAGGAGTACAGGATTGCCATTATTGAAGTCCGAATTCTCAAATATTACTGTTGCAAATGGCCAGGTATGTGCGTGCGTGGGGATTCTTCGAGTGCCAATTAAATTGAAGGAGACGGTTAAAGTAATAGATTTGTTAGTCGTGCCGACCCTGGGCCAACTTTTAATACTGGGGGTGGATTTCTGGACTCAGATGGGCATTGTGCCGAATCTACGGGCGAAGGAATGGAAATTTGCGGCTGAGGGAGAGGTCGAGGTGAATTCATTAGATCCCGTGAATTCGAGACAAAACCTGAACCTGGACCAGGAACGCAGGCTGAGTGAGGCTATTGAGTGTTATTTTGGCCATATGCCCACGTCCTTTAGTTGCACCGATTTGGTGGAACATAAAATTGAACTTCTCGATAATGTGGAACCAATCAAACAGCGTTACTATCCCGTTTCACCGGCACTATTGAAGGAGAGCTAAAAGAAATGTTAGACAAAGGGGTTATTGAACCATCAACCAGTCCCTGGAGTAGTCCGATTGTTATGGTAAGGAAGAAGGATGGTTCTTGGAGGTTCTGCGTTGATTTTCGTCAATTAAATAAAGTCACTCGTCGAGATGCTTATCCTCTGCCTTTTGTATCTAATATTTTAGACCGGTTACGGGACGCTCGCTATTTAACTAGTCTCGATGTGCAGTCGGCATATTGGCAAATACCGTTGTCCGAAGATTCTCGACCTTTAACCGCGTTCACAGTACCAGCTCGAGGTCTTTTCCAATTTAAACGTCTTCCTTTTGGGTTGCACACAGCACCAGCTACTTGGCAACGACTAATAGACCGAGTGGTGGGGGTAGATTTGGAACCTTTCTGTTTCAAATATCTTGACGATATCATAATTGTTACTCCTACTTTCGACCAACATATTGAGGTTTTGACTAAAGTACTGGAGCGTTTGAGAGCCGCAAAGTTAGTCCTGAATCGGGATAAGTGTCACTTTTGTCGGAGTGAGCTAAAATACTTAGGCTATGTCATCAACGAATATGGACTTTAAGTCGACCTAGATAAAATTTCAGCCATTCTTAATATTCCTACACCAACTAAAGTTTCGGAGGTTCGTGTTTTGATAGGTACTGCGTCGTGGTATCGTCGGTTTATCCCGAATTTTTCAACTCTAATTCAACCACTTACAGACTTGTTAAGGAAATCTTCGAAATTTAAATGGACGGAGGCGCAGGATGTGGCTGTTAACCAACTTAAGAGTTGCCTGGTGTCTGCTCCAATTTTGTCATGTCCAGATTACAATAGGCCGTTCGTAATTCAAACCGATGCCAGTGCGTTTGGTATAGGGGCAGTGTTGAGTCAGGATTATCCGGAAGAAGGGGAAAAGGTGATTTGTTATTTATCTCGATCCCTCACCAAACAAGAGCGTAAATATTCTACTACGGAACGTGAGTGTCTGGCAGTCCTTTGGAGTATTGAGAAATTACGACCATATATTGAGGGTACCCATTTTAAGGTCATCACTGATCATTGGTCTCTCTGCTGGCTGAATAATCTAAAGGAACCATCGGGGAGGTTGGGTCGTTGGAATCTTCGTCTACAGCAATATTCTTTTGACCTCGTTCATCGGAAGGGTAAGGAGCATATCGTCCCTGACATGTTATCTAGGTCTGTACCCGTTATTGATTCGTTAAAGGTAGGAAAGGCCGATGAGAATGAGATACGAGATGCGTGGTATCGTCGAATGATTGTAAACGTGAACGAACATCCCTTGAAATACTCAGATTGGAGAGTCGTAGGAACTCAGCTCTACAGATATTTTGGGGAGGGTATTTCCGAGTCAGTTGAGGATGAGGGCTGGAAGTATGTCGTCCCTAAAGAGCAACGGTTGGAGATTCTGCGAGCGTGTCATGATGACGTTCATTCTGGTCACCCGGGGGTGTTCAAAACTTATAGACGGGCTAACCAACGTTACTTTTGGCCGAAGATGAAGTCAGATATCGCAAAATATGTTCGTAGGTGCACAGTGTGTCTCATTAATAAACCCGAGCAGCAGAAACCTGCAGGTCTGATGGCTGTTAGGAAGGTGGTTAAAGAACCGTTTCACGTAATTTCTTTAGATCTGATTGGACCCTTGGTTAGATCGAAGCGGGGTTTTAAATATATCCTGGTGATGGTTGACCTGTTTAGTAAATTTGTTGTAACTGTTCCTTTGAGAAATGCGACTGCGAAACCTATTTGCACGGCTGTGGAGGACCAGTGGTTCCTGATGTTTGGTCAGCCTAAGATTCTTATTTCAGATAATGGGGTCCAGTTTCGTAGTGCTGAATTCCGGAAATTACTAGGAGAGTATGGGACCAAGCAGATATTCACTGCGAATTACCATGCCCAAGCGAATCCGACCGAGCGCGTGAATAAAACGTTGGAGACCATGCTTAGGTGTTATATTAAAGAAAATCAACAGGATTGGGATAAACACTTGTCAAAGGTGACTTGTGCTATTAGAACTCAGGTCCACGAGGCGACGGGGCATACTCCTTATTTCATAGCTTTTGGTCGAGATTTTGCGACAAATGCGGTAGGGGATAGGCCACTTATAGCTGATTTTGAGATTGACCGATCGGAGGATAGGGACGTTAGAGCGAAGGCGTTGCGTGAGCTTTTCGACAATGTTGCGCTTCGGTTACAGAGAGCGGCGGAGAAAAACAAACGTCATTACGATCTGAGGCGCCGTCCTGTTATTTATAAGGTTGGCGAAAAGGTTTATCGAAGGAATTTTCCTCAATCGGATGCCACGAAACAATTCTCCTCGAAACTGGCGCCAAAGTATATTGGGCCCTTTGTTATCTTTCAGAAAGTTTCCCCGTGGATGTTCGAGCTACAAGACACGGATGGTAGGTTTAGAGGCACTTGGCATGCAAAAGACTTGAAACGTTGTCCAGATTAGTGAGTCGCTTTTATATATATTCGGGTTGGTTGGTTGGGGACGTTGGACGGTCCATTTAGGGGTTGTATCCACTCTTTATTTTCGTTTCGGATACAATTCCCTGCTCGAAGATCAGAGCCCTTCCATTCTATTCTTTATTTCTTTGTTTTTTTTTTTGGGTCGGTTTCCTGTACGTCAATCTCTATGTACTCTTCTGGGTTGGGAATTTTCGGGGTTATATGTTTTGGGTGGGAGGGTTTTTAGTCTTCATAGGAAGAAATGGGTGGGGTGTCGAGGATCTAGGATCGGTCCCCTGGATGTTTGGAGTGTGCTTGCATGTTGGTGTGACTGGGCAAAGGCAGTCTACCTTCCCAATTTATTCTCTTTCCTTATTCCGCTTGTGATCCCAAACTTAGTGTTAACCCTTTTTGTTCTGATTCCCAGTTAATTTATTTTTTTTTGTTTAGGAGTTCTATCGCTTCACGATAGACTTCTTGTTTGGCTGCGGTCTTGAGGCTGAGTCGCGGGTGTCGATGTTGAAGAGACTAAACTAATCTTTGGCATACCGTTCTATTTTCTACTCTTCTTGCTTCCTTTCATTTCCCCTCTTTGGGAGAATTCTGGGCCTCTCGGGGTGTAAGGCGCTGGCAGCTGTGCCCTCCTGCCGATCCTCTCTTTTCCGTAGGCTAGGCAGAAGCTCGGGAGTGGTGTGCCAGTGCAGCAATCTTTCCTATAACTTTATTTCGCCTCTTTTAGGCAACCTTCTTGTGATGCCACTGAGGGTCGTTTTGTCTTGGATACCATCGGTGTTCGTGGGTCAGAAGATTGAGCGTAGCAACCCTTGCGTTTTTTTATTTTTATTTTTGGTTAGTTTTATCCTAGTGCCGGCCGATTTGCCGAAGGACTCTATGTGGGCGTCGTGAGTCAGACTGTAGTTTGTGTATGCATGGGAAGGGGTGTATCTAGGTTTTGGTATGGATGTTGAACTAGGAGATTTGGTGTTAGATTTTTCGGGAGTGTTGTCCTTGTGTTGAGTGCTTAGTCGATATGGTTTTGGAGATATTGGTCACCTAGGGGTGGGTTTAGGTCGTTTTTGGTAAGGGTGGGATTTGTGACGGCCAGTTATATCTTTAGGCAGTATGAATTGTGTCGTGTATAGATTTGGCCACCGGGAGGTAATTTCTCTTTTTACCGCTTGGAGTCCCTATTTCGTAATTCGTTACCTTGGGGTTTACGATTAAAAGCCGGTGGTGGGACAAGGAAATGGCGATCGGAGTGCATTTTGTGTTAGCACGCCGAAAAGTAATGTTGCGCATTTAAAAAGTTGGAATTAATTGTGTTCATTGAGGCATCCGTTTGGATATTGGAATTGGATATTTGGGGAGTTTGTCTCAATGCCGCTTAGCGGGATTTAATTGATATCCACTTAATTGGTGCTTTGGTCTGGCACTCGGCTTGGCCGGATTTTATGCAACAAGGCGTTTATCGGCTTTTATTTTGATCATCCGCTTCAGGTCGAAGGTAAGAGTCATTCCTTATTCTTTTGTGGTCATTTCGTTATTTCATACGGGGTATATTTGCAGCGGATTTTGGGTGACGGATCTACATTACCACGTGAATCTAGTATTTGTTTTGTCACTTATCGGCGTGGGAACAGTCGTGGGTCTCGTGTAATCAGACTGGAGTTTTGGTATTGGATGTGAGCTGCGAAGGATATGTAAAACTGTTCGAGTTCGAGTTCCGGGGAGACCTGTTTCACTGTGATTGTCTGTACCGCATGGAGGGTTATTTGTCGTAACGTCGGAGGAATTTTATGCATGGCTGTAATGGAGGGAAGCCGTTAACTGGGTGGAATCGTCGTGTACCAAGTTCGAGCGCGACACCTGTCCGAGAACTTGATCGTTCTGGTCGGAGACAGCTCCGAGACATCGTTGCCGATTTTGCTGTTCACCGGTACCGTCCCATTGCGATCCCTTCGAGTTTACCGATAGGCGAGGACCCGCACAGCTAAGTGGATTGTTGGTTGTTTCGTGTACATGCTGGTGACACCTCTGGAAAACGTTACTTTTGATGCGAGGTTTGGAATTTCACGTAAATTATTACTAGCAGAGAATCTGATAGATTCTATTTAGCTGTTGGCTTAACCCGACTTGTTAGTAATTAGTTGAAGTCCTTCGTATCTCAAGTAAGATACTGGGAGATTGTTGGTTGTGTAATTAATATTGGAACCTGGCATAGCCGGTTAAATGTAACGATTTTGAATTCACTTAATTAACATACCTATTGAATAGCGTCACTGGCATAATCAAGTACATTTATTTGTGTGTCACATATTTTTCTTGTTGGAAATTATTTGTTTCCTTTATTAGGGTGGGGACCAGTGATAGCTGCTGGTAATTGTCATAACAATTAAGGGGTTTTATATATGTTATTTATGCATGATAGATTTTTAATATGGGTAACCTTCTGTGATTTCGCACTGTGGTAAGTTTGATATATATATTTATTTATTGAATTTTGTGTGTTGGGTGGCAGCAAATCAGGC